ACAACAGAGTTGTCCGTGCGCACCGTGAATGGTGCCCCGTGCAGGTAGTGACGCCAGTGCCAAGCGGCGTAAACTACTGCGAGAAACTCACGTTCATCAGCAATGTAGTTTATCTCGGCGGGCAGGAGCTGACGGGAGTAGAAGGCTATCAGACAATCACCTGAGCGAGACTCGACAGTGCCGTCCCCGTCGATGGTAGGAGAATAGTCAATAGAGGGCTCGTCAGTAGTTGGACGCGTAGGCGTCAGTCGGGAAGCAGTGGTAGGGGTAGGTGGTGGGAAGCGAGGGATACGAGGATGAGAGGAATCAGGCGAGGAGGGGAAGGCATGAGAAAGCACTGCTCCTACAGCAAAGTCTGATGCATCGGTGGTAAGGATAAAAGGGCGATCAAAATCGGGTAGGTGAAGAACCGGTGCGCATGTCACCGCCTTCTTAAGGGCGCGGAAGGCATCCTCGTGGAGGAGTGTCCAAGTCCCGGGTGGGTTCTTCCGGAGGAGGGTGGAGGTAAGGACGTAGGAATACCTAGCGTATCCCCGGATGAAGTTACTATAGTAGCTGGTCAGGCCTAGGAAGCTGCGAAGCTGCTTGGCGGATGTGGGGGCGGGCCACTCCGCAATAGCAGTGATCTTCGCGTCGTCCATGTGGAGACCCTGGTCAGACACGTAGTGCCCTAAGAAATTCACTTTGTGCTGGGCAAAGCGGCACGTGCTCAGCTTGGCGTAGAAGCCATGCCTACGCAAGCAGTCAAGGACGTCACGGAGGTGTTTGAGGTGCTCCTCAAGGGTACGACTGTAGACCAGGATATCGACGAGGTAGACGAGAACGTACTGCTCCAGGATGTCCCTGAAGATGTCGTTCATCGCCCTCTGAAAGGTGGCGGGTGCATTGGTGAGGCCGAATGGCATCACCTTGAACTCGTAGTGTCCGAATCGTGATCGGAACGCGGTCTCCGGCTGGTCGGCTGCAGCGACGCGGATCTGATGGTAACCGCTACGAAGATCAATCTTCGTAAAGAAGCGGTTGCCTGCTAGGCGGTCGAACAGCTCATCGGAACGAGTCATGGGGTAGTTGTTCTTAACCGTGTAGCGGTTGAGACCGCGATAGTCGATGCAGAGACGGAGAGTTCCATTCTCTTTGCGAGCAAAGAGGACGCGTGCACCCCACGGGCAGTTGCTGGGTTTAATGAAACCCAGTCGAAGGAGCTCCTCAAGCTGACGCTTGAGTTCGGTGGCCTCGAGGATCGAGAGTCTGTAGGGTGCCTGGTGGTAAACACGATAGTTAGGCACAAGCTGAATGGAGTGCTCGACGTCACGCATCGGTGGGATGCCGGCGTACGAGAACGATGATGGGAAAACGTCGTGGTACTCTCGGATGAGGTCACGAACTGCGGGCTCCAGGTCTGCCGTATATCGTGCGAGTTCCTCAGCGTCAGCGTCAGCATGCGACGACGGGGTGGACTCGACGAACGGCAGAGGGACGAAAGTAGAGCTGGGAGCCATGGAGATAGAGGGAGGATCTGGCTCCAGAGGGATGAGCTCGACGTCGGGACAGGGTGGATCATAGTGTAAGAGATCCGTCACGTCCACCATAAAGAAGGTGACATCGTCCTGTCGAATGAAGTGAGCGAATTGCCGAGGCGAGGTGACAGTGATAGAGGGAGATGGTGTGGGCACTGAAGGCTCCGCGGGAGGAGGATCGGGGCATGGTGTCGCAGTGGTACCTATGAAAGGTACGCGATACGTCTGTCCACACTTCGTTTTGAGAACGAGAGTGTTGGTCG